AAGGCACACTTAAGCTGCTTTGCCTTCACTAAATGTCAGCAGTAAGCCTCTCCCTTTCATCATCAGGCAAGAGGCATGCTTCCTCTTACAACCTACATTGTTTTCTTAATTCAAGGACTATCAGTGCCAGAATGCATTTATAGGTTGGCCACAACATTTTTTCTGCTCTACTTCATGTCCCAAAGATGAGGACATGAAATGGGAAAGCAAAGGAATGGGGACAAAAACAGTCTTAAACCCAATGAAGGTAAATGATGAGGAATGTGGGTCAGGTGCTTCAGGTAGTCGTCAGTCAAGAGTACAGGGACAGCGGAAATAGTACTGAGCTGTGTGACCCTTGGATGAGTTAATGTCTAAGAGCCTCAGTTTCTTCATCTGCAAAATGGGACCAATAATGAGGGCTGGTGTGAGGAAAGGGCTTTGTACTGCTTAAGGCAATGCACAGAAGTGAGCCAGGACTTCCATGCTGTTTTCTCTGCCTGAAGCCCTCTTAATAGGAGGAACAGGTGCTTATGCTCTGTACCACATTCTGGGTATTACCAGGGAACACGTTTTAGAAGTTCAGAGGCCAAAGTGAAGCTCCTTCTGGATACCAGCAGCATTACTGAGCATTGATCTCTTATGTGATCAGTGTAATAGCCTTGGGCAGGAAGCCAATGTGATGTACTCTTCTGGCATTTCCTCCCTAGGCACTGAAAGGCAGGCCTCTAGATCACTTGTGTAAAAAGCCTCATGTAATTTTGGCAGGTGGCGCTCTCTTATTCTTGGACAATTATTTCCTAAAACATTGTAATAAAAAGCTTGAAAAAGAAATAATCCTCCAGATTTTTTTTGCTTTCATGAACAATGATGCCAATTTAGAATATGAGGCACAAAGTATGGCATAGCATGGGGGAAAACAATGGAGATGGCATCAGAAGACACCTGGGTTCAAATCACAGCTCTACCTGTAAAACCTTGGATGAGTCCCTCAACTTTTGGGTACCTTGGTTTCTTCCTTTGGAAAATGAGGGTATTGGATTAGGATACCTTAAGGTCCCTTCCAGATCCACATCTAAGATCCTAAGGCTTTTTTTATTAACAAGGTAGGCAGGTAAGTGGTGAAGAGAATAGAGCACTGGACCAGGGGTTGGGATAACCAGAGCTCAAATCCAGCCTCAGATACTTACTAGCAGAGTGATCCTCTGCAAGTACTTTAACCTCTGCCTCAGTTTCCTCATCTATAAAATGGGGGTAACAACAAACACCTGCCTCCTGGGGTTGTCAAGAGGATGGTTAGTGGCAGATCTGAGAACAGAACTTGCTGTTGTTTTTCAGTTGTTTACATTGAATATCTACCTGTTTCTTTCCCCACTCTACTCCCTTTTCTGTTCTCTCTCCCCCCCAAGTTACAATTCCCTTAAACGTGCAGCAAGAGCATGTCTACTAAATCGTCCACACACAGCCCAGAAAGAACCAAACAGACTGGAGTTGTCTCTCAAAGATAGTGGAGTAGTTTGCCATTTGCTTCTCCAGTTCATTGTGCAGGTGAGGAAACTGAGGTAAACAGGATTAAATGACTTGCCCAGGGTCACACAGCTAGTGAGTATCTGAGGCCAGATTTGAACTCAAGAAGATGAGTCTTCCTGACTCCAGGCCTGGCACTCTATCCATTTTTCTATCTACCTGCCCCCAGAAAAAAACTAGGAGCTCCTAATTCCTTCCATGGTATTCTTTCTATTCTCATATTGGCCCCTAGAAGTCAAAAGGTAGTGTAGGTTGCAAGAATGCAGGACATCACAATCCTAATTTTAAGCATTTATTAAATGTATCATTTGCTATGTTTTTCTGCTATGTAAACACTTATCTACTGGTTCCAGGTTTTTTTTTTTAAGTCAATCAACCAACATTTATTACATACCTATTCTATATCAGGCACTATGTCAGGTACTGGGGATACAAATACAAAATTCTTTCCATTTTACAGCAATGTATATAAGAACATACTTTAGATAAACCCCAAGAAAGAGTCACTTTGGGGTTTCAAATTCCTTTAATGAAAGGATAGCTCTTCTCATTGTTTGAGGATTTGCCTTCAACATTTCACCTTCTCCTCCCATCCTTCCAACATTTCTTTTTTGTTTCTTTTTTAAACAATTAAATAAAACTAATATGGGAACTTCATCTAAAAATTCATGCAACATTTCACATTGGGATCAGCCACTCTATTAAAAAAAAATTAACAAAAACCTATATTCTCTCACTCCCACTCCTCTACTCCATTATAACAAATAAACAGAGTAAGCAAAACAAACTCCCACACACACACACACCTCATTCTGCACCCTAAATATGTCATATCTCTGTAATGAATGGGATGCTTTATCATTAGTCCTTTGGAATCCTAGAATAGTCTTCATATTTATTTTTATAGCTTTCAAAGTTGTGTATACACACACATACACACACACACAACATCAATATTATAAAGATGAACAATTTGTTGGACTCTTAGAAATTGATGAAGAATGAAATGAGAAGAACCAAGAGGACAATTTATATTAATAAAAACAATACTGTAAAGGCAAGTTCCAATTAAGGCAATGTCCAGTCCCACAATAGTTAAAGTGCTACCAGGCCTTAAATTTATTTTTTTTTTAAGGCAATTGGGGTTAAGTGACTTGCCCAAAGCCACACAGCTAGTAAGCATCAAGTATTTGGTCTGAGGCTGCATTTGAACTCAGGTCCTCTTGACTTCAGGGCCAGTGCTCTATCCACTGCAACACCTAGCTGCCCCTAACCAGGCCTTAAATTCAAAAGGCTTATCATTAGGTAGATAAAACACAAAAGGAAATCTAGCCAATCTAAGCAAAAGATCTGATTTTAAGGATCAATGTTTTAAAAATTAATTCTGGGGAAAATTATAAGTGCTGTAAAGTTTGTGCTATTGCTGTGTGTTGCTATACTGTTATATACCTTTATATATCATATACAAATTATACACTGTTTTTCCTTCTTAGGATTGTCGATTGTGGTTTGTCCTTCATTCTCGAAGAGGACCATGACATCAGGAAGATGATGCCATGACTTGCAAGTGAACTGGATTTAAATGAGGGAGGGCTGTCCAAAGTCACCAGCCCCTCTTTCTCCTCCAGAGCCATCTGGGTCCAGTGGCCAGATATAGATCAGGAAGACTAGAGATGGCCCAGCTCCTTTTTTATGAGAATAGATCTCCCTCTCTCACCCAGTCCAGAAGTTGAATGGCTATTCAAGGCTTGAATTCCACTACTAATTGTCATGGAAGCTTTAGTCTGCTCATTTTCTCAACTTGAGTTAATTTGCTCCTCCACAAGTAGCCTAGTAGTTCCGTACTCCTTGGGGCCCACCATATTAAAACCAGACAGTGTAGATACCCAAGTGGCTTAGCCTGCTGCAGAGCTCAGGACTCCCAAGCTCAAGAAATCCACCAGCCTCAGCCTCCACAGTAGCTGGGATTATAGGCATATGCCATCATCCTCTACCAGATGACACACCCTCAAATGCGTCCTTACCTGTATTTTGTTAAGTCATCAACTTTGCTGGCTATATGAAAACCACTCAGAGATGGATTTCCTGAATTACATTCAGTATAAATCAGCTAGGTGGGACAGTGGAGAGAGTACTGGGCTTGAAGCCAGAAAGGCCCAAGTTTAAACTCAGCCTGAGATACTTAATAGCTACATAACCCTAGACACTTAAGTTCTTTCAGCCTCAGCTGCCTCAACTGTAAAATAAATATAATAATAGCATATAACACAGGGTTCCTGTGAGAATCAAATGAAATAATCTCAATATACTTTATAAATGCTAGATATTATTAATAATATATTTCATTTATAAATATTTAATTGATATTAAACATAACTCAGGGTTTACATTGAATATCTACCTGTTCTTTCTCCATTCTACCCTTTTGTTCTTCTCTGTCTCTGTCTCTGTCTCTGTCTCTCTCTCTGTCTCTGTCTCTCTCTCTCTCTCTCTCTCTCTCTCTCTCTCTCTCTCTCTCTCTCTCTCTCTCTCGCAGTGAGAGCATGTCTACTAAGTCATCCACACACAGCCCAGAAAGAACCAAAGAGAGCCAGCCGTACAAGAGAGGGTTCTTTCTAAAGGAGCTCTCTTTTGGTCCCAGGTTCGGCAACAAGGAGCCATTCCCCGCAGGGCTAACCTTGAGTGTGACCACAGACAATATTCTTTTGTGAGCTCTACGTCCTGGCCATACAAGGAGCTCTTTGTTCCTGCCTCTCGGTTCCACTTTCCTCTGTGCCTTACCTGGGATAGTATGCTGTGTAGTTCATGAAAAGCTGTGTGCCAGCTGGGTAGTAGGCTGTGGAGGGCTGCAGTGTCCGGGGACTCAGCAGGACAGAAGGCTGATAAAGGGCAGCTTCCGTTGGGATCACTGCGGCAGGGGCTGGAAACGTGTACGAGGGAGGAGACAAACCTAAATAGGAAAAAGGGGAGAGTTACAGAACACACAGCATCTTTACCATTGAAAGGGCCACAGAGTTAACATTTTTAGATACAAACTCCACAGTTGGGAATCTTCCCTGACAGGTCTTTCCAGCCTTCTCACCCCTATGTTTTTGGTTACAAGGTACCCTCAGCATTAATGTGAAAACTACATACATTCCAATGTATGTAGCTTCTCCTATGAAATCTGAGAAATGTTATGCCTTGGTACCAGCCTAACATCTCCTGGTCTAATAGCATGATAGGAAAGATTTTCCCAGTCTTAGCGATCTCAGCTTCGCATCAGCTCTGGGACAGAGAACTCACATACTTGCACAAATACTAAATAAAGCACAGCATAACAAACTCCTAAGTGTTCAAAGGGCTAGTTATCTTGTCTGAGGACAGTTCGAGATATCTTGCTTCTCTTTTCCTTTGACACTCTCCTACTGCTACCCTTCTCCCTGGTAGTTATAACAAGAACTTACACTAAACTATGCATCAGTTCATTTAGTATTCCTGCTTGTATCCCCCAGGAAGTCTGGATCAGAACACACTGAGAGTAAAGAGAGATCCACAGGGGTCCAATCTACCCTAGATCAATGCCCACCCAAAGAAGAATATCTCCAAGGGCTAGATGTCTCCAGTCAGATTGGAGATGTCTAATCCAGGCTACAGGTAACCTGCCTCAGGTAAGTTCAGAATGTAATTCAAAAGATCTGAATGCTAACCCCAAGGCTGAGTGTCTCTAGAACTGACACTGTCTTAAGATCACCGGAACATAGATTTAGAGTTGAAGTGACCCCAGAAGTCACCTAGTCCAACCTCATTTTACAGACAAGGAAGCTTGAGGTCCAAAGACACTAAATGACTTCCTAGTAGTCATTCAGGTGGCATGTGGCAGAGCCAGAATTCAAATCCAGATTCCATATTCTTTCCATTGCACCATACCATCACTCTCCTTGGGTGTTTTAGATGAGGGCTGGCCAGGGGTATCTGAATTTTTGTCGGCCGTTGGCCAAGACTTCTTCCCTAAAAGGATCAATTCAAATCACTCAACTTACTTCTTACTCGGCAGTTCTCATTTTTGAAGCTGGTTGAGATAGGTATATGATTGTGGAAAATAAGTTCTGAATCATAACTACAGATCTCATTTAGCCATATCATCGTGATCCTAAGACTATCTCCAAATGAACAGGCAACTTGCCTTTAACCTTCTTTGTCTTACCTAACAGTGAATATTTCACAGGTCAGAAATATAGCATGTCATGCTTGAGGCAACATCAACATTTATTTAGAATTTCTCAAGGTAATAATTTCTCCCTCATATCAGCCCCCTACAATTCACAATTTTTATAGAGAGGCTAAAATTATACAGCCACAAGTGAAGTCATTTGCCCTTGAAAAGAATGTAACTAAATACTCAGACCAATGTCCTGAATAGACAAGGAAACTGAGGCACCAGAAGGCTGATCAATCCAAAATCATACAGTAAGTCAAGGCTAGACCAGAGATTTGAGCCAGTTTCACCATTCCTGTTTGTTACAGTGCATTTGTCTCACACTGATAAGATGAGCTGAATGATTAAATAGCAAACTGAAATAACTGAATATATCTGCTCTCTATTCAAACAATGAAAGGCAAAGAATTTTGTTTTTAACCCAAATTTTTGATAAGTATAGGTGGTACCTCTGAGATTTGACTAAGTCCCCTAAAAATTTGGGGAACTATCCTACTGTATTCCTGGAACCTCTTGTAGTTTTGTGTATAATTATTTTTTAAGTAGGATACTTAATTATGAATTTTCTTAGGAAAAAAAAGGATTTTGCATAACTGTTCCTCAACATATTGCCCCTGCAATATACCGTTCATATAAGCCCGTGAGACTTCAAGGTCAGTGAATGAATACTTCCCTCACATCTTCAACATTAAAATCCTCAATGACAGTTTTATATCAATATCATATTCTTTTTTGAAGGTTAGCAGCACTCTTCAAAAAGCATGTATGAAATGCACCCCAAATTGTGTGATTGTTTTAATTGTATGACATGAGGCCAAAAGAATTTGACCTTGAAGTATATTTTATTTTAGAAAAAGGAACAAACATGATACTAAGCTTTATCAGTGGGAATCCAGCACAATATGAGTTAATTCTTCCCTTAGACACATAACAATCTTAGACTGTCTGGTTCTTAAATTCGTTTTCATCCCTGTCCCAAAACAAAGATTGGGAATTAATAATACTACCTAACACTTATATAGCACTTAATATGTGCCAGGAACTGTGCTAAGTTCTTTACAATTATTATCTCATTTGACCCTCACAACAATCCTGGGAGGTAGGTGCTATTATTAACCCAATTTTACAAATGAAGAAACTGAGGTAAAGGTTAAGTGACTTGTTCAGGGTTGCATATTTTATGAGAGTCTGAGTTCATATTTGAGCTCAGATCTTCTTGACATCAGGATCATGGCTTTGGCCATTTCACAACCTGCTTCCCAAAATACTTCCTGCTCAGAAAGATAAAATGGATTTGGTCCTATTGGACCTCTGAAGAGAACACTGTTTCATGTCTCTGAAGTGCTAAGGTATGACTAGCTGTTTTCTAAAAAGGACAGGAAGAAGGGAATGAACACATTCTAAGAGAAAGAATTTAGATTCTATGGGAAGATATCACCACCTTCTATACAGAGGGAGATGATAGGATCTCCTTAGAGACATTCATAAATTATGGGCACAGAAATATTTGGCCAGATTATACCATTATATGATTTCCCCTCAATCAACTGGATTCTTTTGAAATTTCAATTTTGTAAAATTGACTTTCTCCTGAGTGGTCTCTCAGGTTCATTTCAGAACCATTTTTATTTATATTTTTGGTGAAGCAGTCAGGGTTAAGTGACTTGCCTAGGGTCACACAGCTAGTAAGTATAATATGTCTGAGGCCGGATTTGAACTCAGGTCCTCCTGACTCCGGGCCAATGCTCTATCCACTGCGCTACCTAGCTGCCCCTCAGAACCAATTTGGGCTTCAGTTTGCTAATCTGTAATCTAAAAATGATGAATAATCTCTTTCTACTTCTGAATCTTATGGTCCTAAACTGAAGACATTGTTGATAATTGGCAAAAAGTAGTATACACAACTCATCTAGGTAGTTACCATAAAATCTCCTTTACATTATCCTACTATAAATCATACATACAGGAAGAATTATCTCCAGAGGTAAAAGTATTATTATTATTAGCACAACTGTTGTCAATATTCAATCAATAAGTCCTTTGACTAAATGGAGCAGTGGTAGGGATGGTTGTTGCTGTTGTTGTTTTTTACTAGAACTTAGTCTAAGTCTTCCAGCTCTTCCAAATGGAAAACAAATCAAATTTTTAAATCAAATCTTCATTTCTCAATTACCTTTGGAATTCATTTGAGTCGATACATTTTTGAGCCTAAGACTAAAAGTCCTGTACTAGGTGACCCCTTTATATAAACAAATATAAAAACAAATGTTTTTCTGAATAAGCATGATTTCAGGTACAATTAAAAGTTTTACCTGCATGCTACCCCCCCCCCAAAGCATTAAACTTTAGACCTTTAAAATATGTTCCCTAATTACTATCCAGAACTTAGTATGGACTAAAAAGCATATTTATATAACAGATAGGACACCAGCTGACTGCTACCCAGGTTCCAATGAGCAAGAGCATGGCCTGAAATTAAGCACTGATCCTGTGACCCAATGAAAACTTTGGCTAATTTAATTACGCATTTTGCCTTTGTGTTAACTTGTTATTCAAGACACTCTGTAAAGTAACAGAGTAAATATGTCTCAACAAGTAAATATTTAAGTTTTATCTTTCCTTATCCAGAAAGTAGGGGAGAAAAAGAACAAACCTATCATCACTCACCCAATAAAGTTTTCCATGAAAAAACTTCAATTTCACCTTTAAATTATTTTATATATGCGTATTAAAATATCTCTGTAGCCAGGTTGCTTCCCAGAGTCAGTGCTTACTTACTTGGGCATGTTAAGCTTTAGAAATCAAGTTGCTTATCACGGGAAAGGCAAGAGGATGATCTGAAAGAAGGTTGGTTTTGTTTGTTTTTAACATTTTTTTTTCTATTATGGACATCCACAACCAAGGTCTTAAATTAAATCACCAGATACTGTTGATTTCAGATGGGAAAGCTTCATATGACCATTTTATCTGCCTCAGAAAGAGCCAGAAACATAGTTATGAAAGCAGCTCAAGCACCTACCAGCACATAGCGGAGGATAGCGCCAAGACCCAAGAAAAACTTACATGGTAACTTACATGGCGGTGGGGATAAGCCATTTCGATTTAAAGTGCCCCCCATTAACACAAAGTTCATCTCCTCAGCTGAACACTGAAAGACTTCAACATATCTGTCCTTCATAGTCTTTTTATGACACTTTTGTGCAGCCATAAATGCTCTGTCTGCAGATTTCATCTGGATAAAGGCATCTCCCGATGGACGACCCTGATGGAGGGGACAGGGAAGAAAAAAAAAGTCTTTTTGTATGACAAGGGAAAAAAAGATTCATCTGTTTCTAGGAAACAATTGTTGGTTGATATGCCATGGGACAATCATTTACATCATTGACATTTTAATTATGAAATGCAGGTGTTAGCAAAGCTACAAAGACAGATTTGTATTCCATCATCTGATAATTGGGAACAGTACCTCTTTCTCATTTGAACTATAAAGGCAGAAGCAAAGAGTTTGGAAGCCCAAAGCTGAAGGGAATTCTCTTCCTTTGACAGAAATACTGGATCAGAGATTCTAGCAAAGTGTCTTTATAACCTTCACTATGGTCTCTAAGTACAGTTTGCAATTTTAGGGGTTTTGTTATTCCTTCCTGAAAAGCAGGTAAGGATGTGACCTCCTGATTAATCTTAATCCAGTACTGAAAGGCAGTAGCAGAGTTGGACTGCAGTTTCAAATATCTCACTCCATATTCTGTGGTTAAATCCATAATAATCTTCTGATGATTAATTCTGTTCTTCCCCTATTTCATGTTTCCTCTGTTTTCTCTTCTCCTTTATCCCTTTCCTCCTCCCTCTCCTCTCTTTTCCCTCAGGCCTAAGGTAGCAGATGGCTTAGGGAGGTTTTTAGTTAAGGTTTCTGAGAACCAGTCTACTCCCCATCCCCCACCTCAAGTCCTGGGTCCACTTACTAGTTCATACTGCTTTTTTTCCCCCCAAGCCGTAATGGTTCTCTTTGACTCTCAAATCTAAAGGCAAGTCAATATCTATTCTTCCAAGGATAAATGGGCAAAGGATACGAACAATTCTCCATGAAGAAATACAAATCACGACTAGTTTTTTAATAGCTTAAAAGTATCTAATGATCAGAGAAATTAAAATCAAAACAATGTTGAGTTGCTATCTGATACTATTAACTTCGAAGTAATGGTTAAAAATGGATAAAGAATAATTGATGGTAGAGGTATGATCAAACAGATACACTACTGCACTCTTAATCTGGCAATGTCTAATGAATTGCAAAACCAATCATATACTCTGACCCAGTCATCCCACTAGTAGGACTATACCCTGTGGTATTTTGATATCCTTCATGAATGCCTTGTCATGGCAAGAAGATAGCTCTGGGTTCTCAAAGGCTATGCCAATAGATTACAAGTTCTGAAAGGTTTTTTTACCCTGCTGAATAGTCTTCAGTATGGCCAGTGACATACTAACCTTGCTGCATAAGACCCACCCCAGCCAAATATGGGAAGGCTTATTAGCAGCAGGCTGGCCACTAACAAATCTGTTAACCTATGAAGGAAAGGTCGTGAAAAGGAAAAACAAATGACCCACCACTACCAAGACACACAATGGCTTTGTTATAATTAAAGACAAGAAACAGCAAGCACATCCAAAAATTGGAGAATGCTTAACTAAATTCTGATATGTTCAATAAAGTGGAATACCATCGCATAAAAAATCTGAAAAAGAAATGTGAAAAGTCTTATGGGAAGTGATCCTGAACAAAGAAAGCAGCATCTGAACTATAACACGGACTATGATTTTTTAAACAGCAACAAAATCTAGTAAGTACACAGATAGAAAAAAGAAACAATAGAAGGGAACAGAAAATTAGATATTTTATCAATAGGTATATAATTTTGGGAAAAGCTGTGAATAGTTTGGAGTTCGTGGTTGTTTGGTTTAATTATTTTATTGAGATTATTGGGTTTAACAATGATTTTTTAAAAAATAAAAGCAAGTTTTTCTGACAATTTGTTTTCTTTAAAACCAGGTCATCAGGGGCAGCTAGGTGGCGCAGTGGATAGAGCACTGGCCCTGAAGTCAGGAGGACCTGAGTTCAAATCCTGCCTCAGACGGAACACTTGACACTTACTAGCTGTGTAACCCTGGGCAAGTCACTTAACCCCAATTGCCAATAAATAAACAAACAAATAAATGAATGAATGAATAAACAAATAAACAAAACCAGATCATCAATTTTCACTTTAAATCAAGTTTGTCACTTTATGACTAGGGGACAGAAGTGTGTGTGTGTGTGTGTGTGTGTGTGTGTGTGTGTGTGTGTGTGTGTTGTCCTTGGAGATTCCCTCTTAATTTAGCTTTGTTAAAAATTAACTTGGGAAACAGAGAAAGACGAATAGAAAAGGTAGTGGGGAAAGAAACAGGCAGATAGAGGATTGCTTTCCTATTTAATGACAGACTGAAAGTCTCCTTGGAGCATTTAAATGCTGATGGCATATTAACAGACATCTCAAGCAAAGTTTCTGCAAGTAATTGCTATATTATAGCAGACAGCACATCCATTTCCAACAATATTAATCCCCTCCACCAAAAAAAAAAAAAAGATTCTGATCTTTCATGTAAATAAGAAGCAGAATTTTTCCACTGAGACCAATTTCCCTGGGGCAGTCTCCACACAATTGGTAATTGTGTCTGAGGGGGAATGAAAGAAAAACTAAGGGAGACATGCTGCAATCCAGCTTTGCTGATATCACAAAAAAGATAGCACAAGCCCTACCCACTGAGGACTCATCTGTGATTATAAGAACACAGAATCTTCCCAACAACATCTACAAGAGTCTCAATTTGACTTAAAAGAGGGGTTAAAATGTTCAAGGATGTACCTACTGACCTGTGGGGCATGCCGTGAGGTTTTTTTCTAGTAGTGGTGGAGAATTTATGCAATTTTTTTTAAAACTGGGGTTAAGTGACTTGATTTTTATATAAATACCAGTGGGTGGTAGCAGGATCAGTAGTGGTAGTTGCTGTTCTTCATCATTTATGCTGAACCAGGGTAGGTTGGTAAATATCCATGGAGAAAAACAAATGTCATTAGGCTACTTTTACATATCAGAATCCTTGGAAATTAATTTCTAGAGGGCATGTTCTACATCTTTTTCAACATTGAGGTTAACATCTTAAACATAAAATATTTGGGGATGAGACAGGAAGATAATGGAACAGATAAATTACAGAAAAAAAACGGACAGCAACAGCTGCACTATGTAAGAAATGACAAAAAAGATGGGGAAGACTGTATGAACTAATGCAGAATGAAGTGAGCTTCAGAACCAGATGAATGAACGATTTATATAACAACACTGTATAGGCAAGCAACTTTGAAAGACTTAATAACTGAGCATGATTCCAGAGGACTGATGATGAATTATGCTGCCCACCTCCTGACAGAGGTGATGGATTCAAGATGCAGAATGAGACATAATACTTGTGGAAATGGACTAAGTAAGCATTTATTTTGCTTGACTATGCATATTTGTGACAAAGGTTTTTATTTTTCCTTTTTTCATATTGGGAAGAAAGAGAAAATAAATGCTTGTTAATTGAAAAATAAAAAAAAAATAGAAAATAGCCCTAAACCCAAAATAGACAGCAAGAAGACCATAGGATTGAGCTGTCAGAATTCTCTGATACCTAAAACAACCCTCTCACTTCATGATGACATGCTAAGTGGCCAAGACTGATTTCTAATCCAAGCTCTCCAATTCTTTATCCAGTACATTCCACTACCAAACTGTAGCCACTCCCTAGTTTCACCAAAGGAACATAGCTCAACTCATGACTCAGATCACTCTAGTATTTTAGATATGACCTGGTGCCTTGTTAATTTGTATTTCTAGGAAGTCAAGAGCAGATGGATCTAGACATGGCAGTTTGTATATCTAGAAAACACTAGAATCTGTTTATATTCACAAAGTTAGCCCTCACATCCTCATATTCCAGCCTATTACTGTGGGATAAAAGAACCATGTATCATTATTTTGGCAAATTTTAGTTTTGCCTTAACTCTAACCACCTATCGAGAGAGGCAGTGTGGTATAATGAGCAGATCACTTGGCTTAGTTAGAAGAATTGAGTTCCCATTTGGCCTCTTGACACTTATTAGTTATAGTTGGCTATGTGACTCAATGAACTACTCCCTAGTATTCAGATCTCTTTCTTTGATGGAAGGAATTTTCCATCCTGGGAGTTCTTCACACTGCTCAAATCAATTTCCTTCATGTGTTCTTTTGACAGCAACCATACAGCATTAAAGATCATTTATGCCTCATTATAAAGGAGGCTTACTCTTTAAACAGTTGTCTTGGTCTCACAGCTGTTCCTTGAACAAGACACTCCATCTCTAAAATCTAGGCATTTTCTCTGGCTGTCCCCCAGGTCTAGAATGCTCTCCCTCCTCATCTCTGCCTCCTGGATTGCCCGACCTCCTTCAAGCCCCACCTAACAGCCTATTGTCCCCAGTAAGCCCTTCCAGAACTCTTTCAATGCTTGTACTTTTCTCTCTGTTGAGTATTTCCAATTTGTCTTGTATATAGCTTGTTTATTTTCTTGTTGTGTCCCCCATCAAACTGTGAGCTCTAATGCAGGGACTGTCTTATCTTTCTTTGTATTCCCAGTGTTTAGCATAGTCTCTGTCCGACACATAGTAGGACCTTGATAAATGTCTGCTGATGGATTGGGTAAGTGAAGCATATGCGTGGTGCACTGAAGCCTATTGTTGCTGAGTCATGTCCGACTCTTTGTGACCCCAGGGGCCACAGCATGCCAATACTGTCCATGGTGTTTTCTTGGCAAAGATACTGCAGTGGTTTGCCATTTCCTTCTCCAGTGGACTAAAGCAAGCAGAGGTTAAGTTACTTGGCAAGGGTCACACAGCTAGTGTCTGAGGCTGGCTTTGAACTCAGATCTTCCTGACTCCAGGCCTAGTGCTCTAGGCTGAGCCATTTAGCTGCCTCTAAAGTACTTAAACCTACTGTCTGAAAATAAACGTTCTGGACAACTGTTTCAGAAGAAATCAGAGACACAATAAAACTAACTTTGAGTGGTTCTGAGAGACATTAATAACTCTAAAAATCCTCACACTAGGGAGTTTTGAAGTAAAATTCCAAGAAAGATCTGTGTGGCAATGTGAAAGTAAGAAACATAATTATTCATGTGACAAATCACCATGAGTCATGTCTTGGCATTTTTTACCAGCATAATTACACATCCGACAATTTCACTCACCAGACCACTCTCTTAACAGCACTATTCTGTTAACACAAACAGCCAGAACTCATGTTGATTTCTGTTTATACCAATGTCCTAAAGACTTTTTGCAAAGTTTGCTGCATGTTTCAAAATATATAAGTCATCATGTGCCTCCTTCTCTACTTTGACACTGCCACCACTCTGGTTCAGGCTTAATCACTTTATATCTGGCCAACTTTAATAACTTTTTGATTCATTTTCTGGTTCTGGTTTTTGCTCTGCCTCAAGTCTTTCCCTACTCCAGACATCTTCAACTCAGCTGTCAAACTGATCATCCTCAAGTGCAGGTCTGACCTTGTCACCCCTCTGGTCAATAAATTCCAGTAGTTCCCTACTACTTTCAGGATCAAATATAACCCCCTGGCTTATAACCTGAACCATTCCTATCTTTCCAGTTTTCTCACACCCACTCACCTCCACATATTCTGTGATCCAGTGACACTGGCCTCCTTACTATTCCTTGGATATGACACGCCATCTCCTACCTCCATGCATTTTCACTGGCTGTCCCTCATGGCTGGAATTCTCTCCCTCTATATCTTTACTTCCTGACTTTCTTGGCTTCATTCCAGTCACAGCTAAAAATCCCACCTTCAAGAAGCCTTTCCCAGTCCATCTTCCCACTAGTACCTTCCCTTTGAGATTATCTTCAGTTTATCTGCTATATAACCTGTTGACATGGTTGTTTGCAAGCTTTCTCCCCCACTGAACTGTGAGCTCCTTGACAGAAAAGACTGTTTCCACCTTTCTTTGTAATCCCAGCACTTAGCATAATACATGGCACATACTAGACGTTTACAAAATGCTTACTAATTTGAGCACAGAAACTTCACTTCTATTACTAAACACTAAATATATGGCGAAAAAATACGATCCAGATTCAAACTAGGGTTTAAAATTGGTGATACTATTCATAGTAAATTAATAAATTAAGCACCAGAATCACAATTATTTTCATGAGTATCTTAACCTCTTTCTTTGACATGTTGGTTTCATTTACATGATTTACAATTCAATAATCATTTATGAAGCACCTAATATAAGGCTCTTCATAATAACTGAAAACAGAACTGAAAAACCAGACTCCCTGCCCCAAATGGGTTACATTCCATTCTACTACAGCTGAGGTTCTTAACCTTGGGTCCATGACCTTATTTTGAAAAAATATTTTGATAACTCTATTTCAGTATAATATTTTTAAAATGCTATATATTTTACATTTAAAAACATTATTCTAAGAAGTGATCCAAAGGCTTCACCAGATTATGAAAGGGATTCATGACGCAATAATGTTAAGAACTGCTATGCAATCAAGAAGAATTGCACATAGTGATACCAATATATATTTTATCTGATACACAGATAAATAAGCCCAACATATACAAAATAATTTGAAAGGGATTGTTTTATTCTTTATATTTGTAATCCAGTGAAATATGTGGCACACAGTAGGCTTCTTGACTGATTAATCTGGTTTAGGGGAAGGACAGGATTTAGGAAATGTCTCATGTAAGAGGTAGCATTTCAGCAGTTTCAGAGGAAGCTAGGGATTCTAAAAGGTATAAGTGAGAAGAGAATGTATTCCAGGCATTGAGGGACAACCTTGTGCAAAAGCATGAATATGGGAATACAACATGTACACAGGAAAACATGTACAAAATTATATAAAGTATTTGAGAGAGAGAGAGAGAGGGAGGGAGAAAACAAAAATAATTGGAAAAAGTCAGAGAAAAATCAAAGAAAGCACTCGAATATTCTTTGAA